AAAAAAAAAAAAAAAAAAATGGAAAAATTAGCCAGGCTGAGGCAGGAAGACCATTTGAACCCAGGGGTTTGAGGTTGCTGTGAGTTATGATGATGCCATGGCATTCTAGCCTGGACAACAAAGTGAGACTCTATCTCATAAATAAATAAAAACTATAATACATAGTTTTTTTAGGGGGAGCTCATTTTCACAGAAAAATGCTAGCTAAGACACAGAAAGCATGGGCCGTGTGCAGTGGCTCTAACACTCTGGGAGGCCAAGGCAGGAAGATCACTTAAGCTCAGGAGTTCCAAACTAGCCTGAGCAAGAGGGAGACCCTGTCTCTACTAAAAACAGTAAAACTACTGGGCATGGTAGCAGGTGTTTGTAGTCCCAGCTCCTAGGGAGGCTAAGGATCTCTCTCTCTCTTTTTTTTATAGTACATTAATAAGAGAAAGGTTTATTTCAAACTACCATGCACATGGGGGGAACCACAAGAATGATTTCCCCAAAGCTGAGGATCTCTTAAACCCAAGAGTTTGAAGTTGCTGTGAACTAGGATGCCATGGTACCCTACCCAGGGCGACAGAGTGAGACTATCAAAAAAAAAAAAAAAAAAGTATAAAAAGTCATTATAAAAACCATTTTATAAATCAACAGATCATCAAGGATTACAAACTCCAGGGCTATAAGGAAACCCAAACCCCACACATTTATAACCACGAGAGGACATGCCTTTCCATAGAGAGCTCTGAGGGCCCCACCTACTTTGGGGCATCAGCTGCCCAACAAGCCCCCTCTTGCCCCAGTTCTTCCCTTACTTCCCTGTGTCCTTCTCAGGGGCTCCTATGACCCATTTCTTTTTAAATGTTCCCCAAAATCTCCTTTCAGCTGGAGTACATTCTTCCTGCCTCACCTCCTTCTAAACTGCTTTTCACATGTACTTTTTTTTTTTTTTTTTTGCAGTTTTTTGGCCGGGGCTGGGTTTGAACCTGCCACTCTAAATATATGGGGCCGATACCCTACTCCTTGAGCAACAGGCGCCGCCTCACATGTTCTTTTTAAATGGTCATCTGAGGTTGGTTTCCATGTGACTACAAGGACCTGCTCCTTGTACCCAACAATTCCCAGAGAAGCAGACTGTTGGAGTTACTTCCCAGCCTGGGCTGGTGGAGGACACTCCCTTCTTCTGCACGTATAAAGGGCCAAAGCTACTTCTCAAGCCTCCTGAGCTCCAGCCTGGCCTTTCTGTCCTGGGTCTGCCCATGAGGGGTCTAAAACAGTCGTGAGGTATAGGGGCTTGGGTGCTACCCTAAACCACAGGAGGATGGTACATTCCAAAACTATTAAGAAAAGGTTATAATTGTGATGGATGTGTTAATCAGTGCAATGTAAGTACTTCACATTGTATATCAAATCAGTACACTGAACCCCATAAATGCATCAATGTACACAGTTACGATTTAATAAAGACAAAAAAAAATAAAAGATTAACAAAAACAAAAATAAACACAATGCAACAAAGTCTCAGGATGAATGAAAAAAAATGACTTAGTAGGAATTTCTTAGGTATTGCATTCTGCCTCCAAAGTGAAGGTTGTAAGGAAATCCTGAGGATGTTATTCACCACACTTTAATTAATATGATAGTTTTCTCTTCCTTCAAAGGAAGAAGTAGAAAGGAAAGAAAGAGGTGGGGAGAACAGAGAGCAAATATGGGGAGAGGCTATGATGGCTGCAAGAAAAAATAGTTGGTAGAGTTGCGGAGTTTCTTGAGACACTGGAACAAAGATCAAACCTTGATCCATGGCACTGAATCTTCTAAAAAGCAAAATAGGGTGGCACCTGTGACTCAAAAGGAGTAGGGTGCCAACCCCATACCCCGGAGGTGGCGGGTTCAAACCCAGCCCCAGCCAAAATTGCAAAAAAATTAAATTAAATAAATAAAAAGCAAAGTAACTGTTCCAGGAAATCCAGCAATAAATATTGTCATGGTATGATAAAATAAACAAACAAAAAACCAAGGAGGCTGAAAAGGCAGGAACCATAATGACAGGTCATGTTCCTGGTGTAATGTTATCTAAGTGTGGTTGGGTGCTTAGTAAGGAAACTGTCCTTGACCTGACACAGTACGTCTCAGAGAAGTGTCATGACAGCCTACATTCAGTCTGGCAAAGGAGATGAGTGTTTACAGTATAGAGAAAAAGATGGAATAGGCAAAACAAGATGTTCAAAGTTGGCGAATAGAGATGGGGAAATAAGCATCCATTGTGCTATTCTACTCTCAAAAAGTTAGGCAGGCTTTGTGGCAGGCGCCTGTAGTTCCAGCTACTGGGGAGGCAGAGGCAGGAGGATCAGTAGAGTCCAAGATTGTCAGGTTGCTATAAGCTACAATGACTCCATAGCACTCACCCAGGGTGAGAGAAATAAACGGATAAATAAACATACAAATAAGTAAACAATAAATAAAATATTTTACATAAATACACAAAAAAGCTATCCAAGTGTAATCATTTGTTGTTGTTTTGAAAACTGGACAAATACCTGGTGACACAAAGACACTTAAAAATGGATTCAAAACCATTAAAATTAAGTGACCCAATTCTAGGCTGCCATAGGGTAAATAATTGGTCAATCAGGAATGTTTTCTGGAGACAGCTCTAGAGGCACCCAGGGAAGTACAGATTGATATGATAAAAGTTTTGGTTTTAAAAGTAAAAATGAGGATAACAATTGCTTACCTGAGTGCTCAATGGTTACTGTGTTATCCATATCCTCTTTTTTCATACATAAGAAACTGGCTTAGGGAGATTCAGTAGTTCATTACTAAGATCAACCAGCAGACCTGGACCCAGCAGGCTGATTCCAGAGCCTCAATTACAGAGAAAACACTACAATGTCATGAGCACAAGAGTGGAAGTGCTCAGCCAGAGCACAGGGTCCAGGAGTCAAGGAAAAAGTGAGGAACGAATTAAAATGCTAGGATGCCTGAATGTCAGACAGAGAAGGTGCTGTAGACTACAGGAACTACTTAACTCTAAAGCAGAGGAAAGACATAATAAAATTAAAGTAATAGGCTCGGCACCTATAGCTCAACCGGCTAAGGCGCCAGCCACG